TCTACCATTCTGCCCAAAGAGATCCAAATGACAAAGGTGCAATCGTGGAAGACTCAGTGACTGCAACAGTGAGGCCTCGAGCAGAGTGAACTCACCATCAGGCACTGCCTTTCTGCCTGTGTCAAACCTTTCCAAGTCCCTGAGCTGTGCATGTATGGTTCCCTCTACTGTGGGATGCTCTTTCCCAGATATATGCATAGATCTTTGCTCAGGTGTCATTAGAGAAGGAGCTCGGACATAAAAAGTGTTGGAGGAGGCTGCTTGTTGGTTCCTAGCTGCCCCATCCCTAAAGTAATCACACAGAAATTGTATTAATTAAATCACTGCTTGGCCTATTAGCTCTATTATTGGCTAGCTCTTACATATTAATTTAACCCATTTCTATTAATCTGTGTATCACCACATGGCAGTGGCTTACCAGATAAAGTTTTATCCAGCTCAGGTGGGGCTCCATGGCTTATCATGACCCTGCCTCCTTTCTCCCAGCATTCAGCTTAGTTTCACCTCCTAAGTCTGTTCCCCTATAGCTCTGCTATAGGCCCAAAGCAGTTCCTTTGTTTATAAACGGTAATCACAGCATACAGAGCATACTGAAGGGAATCCCACATTCAAAAAAGCACTTCCTATCTCTTCCATTCTTGCCTCACATTTCCCTTGGGCTGGACCTTATCTTTTTTGTTTATTACCACGTGTCTTCCCCATGAGAATTCACTTGTTCCCTTTGTGTGTGTGTGTACATCTGTGTGTGCTCATGTGAGTTTCAGAGCCGAAGGCCAACCTTGAGTGCCATTACTCAGGAGCTATTACCTTGATTTTTGAGACAGGGTCTCTCATTCTCATTAGCCTGGAGCTTGACAAGTAGGCTAAGAATCTGGTTAGCAAGTTCTAGGGATTCTTGCCCCTGCCTCCCTACTGATGGGGCTGTAAGAATGCACCACTACACCCAGGCTTTGGAGCACTGGTTATGGGGATCAAACTTAGGTTGTCCTGCTTCTGAAGCCACATTTTACTACTGGGCTATCACCCCAACTTTATGGGGTCCTTTTGTTTACTGCTTTCCATAGCCCAAGAAGAGCATCTGGCTGGTGTTCCATAAATATTTCTTGCTTGATTGGGAGTTCATTATAAAACATCAGCATTATTTATTGAAACTAATATTATCTCAGTATCATAGAAGGTCATTTTCTGAAAAGTAGGTTTTCCCTTTAGATGTGTAGCACCTTTTTGGTGAGATGAGCTCATCATTTATTAATTTTCTATTTATGTACAATAAATGAGCCCCTGACAACAGTGGCTTAAGGGACACTTATGCTTAACAGGGCTCCTGTGGGTCAGGAGTCTGAAGGAAAGTGCTGAGAAATTCTAGTTTACCTTCTTTTGGGTGCTTGCATCAGGATGTCGGCCTAAGATCTTGTCATATGAAGGCTTTACTGGGACTGACTGATGGCCTTCCCATAAAGCAAACTCCCATAGCTTTCAAATTGGTACTGGCTAAGGGCAGGAGGCCTCTTTTCCCCCTACATGGACATTACACACACACACACACACACACACACACACACACACACACACACAGAGAGAGAGAGAGAGAGAATGAATCAATTGTACTACTCTTGTGGCAGCTGAATCACTCATATGCAAATGACTAAGCCTTTGAGGCTACCCAGCCAGTCTTCCATCTTAATGGTTTGTGAAAGTCAGCGTTATTCATTGTGGAAGAAAACTGACTGGATATAGCATAATAGAAATAACAGAAAATGAGAAACACTAAGGAGACTGCCCACCCTGCGCTGAACTAAGGAATGGATCACACAGGATCACAAACAGGTGAGAACTAAGTTGAGAACAGCTCAAGGCTTAGGCACTGCTGAGGACTTGAACTTGTATAACTGGGGCCCCTAAGTTGATAAGAGTCAACCCTTGTTTGTATTAGGACAGCTATTCCAAGCATCTTAATAACAGAGACTGTATTTGTTCATCTATTCAATGATTCTAAGTCCATAGAGTGAACCACCTGATTAGGATGGATCAAATCTGTATTAGTCAGGTTTCTCTGGAATCACAGAATTTATGGAATAAATCTCTGTCTCTCCATATATGTGTGAGTGTGTGTGTGTGTATCTGTGTGTGTGTGTGTGTGTGTGTGTATGTGTGTGTATGTATATGACAGACTTACAGGCTGCAGTCCAGCTATTCCAATGGGTGGCTCAACTAGTCTTCTCTACACGCTGGAATCCTGAAAAAGCAGGCTCCAATCCCCAGTGAAGGAATGTATGTGCTGGCAAAGACAAGCAGGCAAAAGAAAAGCTCCCTTCATCCATGTCCTTATATAGACAGCAGCAGAAGATGTAGCCCACATTAAAGGTGTGCCTTTCTGCCTCAAGATCTGATCAACAATGGTTTTGATAAACACTCGCAATGTGATGCAAGTGTTGGGCATGCAACATTTGGGCAAGGGATGGGACTGTGACTCAGATAATCAAATCCCAGATGAAGGCTTGTATGGTGGTTTGAGTAAGAACAGCTCCATAGGCTTATATATTTGAATGCTTAGTTGCCAGAGAGTGGAACTGTTTGAATGAATAAGGATTAAGAGGTGAGTAGGTGTGGCCTTGTTAGAGTAGGTGTGGCCTTGGAAGAAGTATGTCAGTGGGGTTGGCTTTGAGGTTTCAAAAGCCCAAGCCAGGCTCTCCTCTCTCCTCTCCCCCCTCCACCTGCAGATCAAGATATAGCTCTCAATTACTGCTCCAGCACGATGTTCCCTGAAATGATGATAACGAACTAAGACTCCGAAACTATAAAAAAGGCCCCATTTAAATACTTTTGTTTATAAGAGTTGCCTTGGTCAAGATATCTCCCTCAGCAACTGAACAGAGACAAAAAGAGTTTGGGAAGCAGCCCCAGAAGCAAAGTGCTTCTCTGACCTTTTCCTGAACCCATCTCTCATTCTTAGTCTCCCTCCAGGTAAGCAGCAGAAACCAGAATCCTTCTTCCCAGAGTGAACCTACATGCCTTCTTTTCAACGCCAGCTACAAACACTGAGGGAAACATGAAGCTGAGTCAAATCCCCTGACTTCCCCACCTACAATGCTCTCAGTCACCAAGCATCGGTCTGCTTCCCAGACTGGTGAGGGAGCCTAGAAAGGTCAGTAGAGTCGCGAGCAAACAGATTTGAAGCTGACCACAGACATAAAAGAGACTCATTGAAATTGGCCAAACCCAAGGTGACTGAAGTACACACAAAGTGCCAATGTTCCTGCTAGATTGGCAGGAAACGTCTAACCAATATAAAGGTGATATCTGTCAACATGCAAGTCAGGGTCTTTGCTACAGTCTAGGTAGAGGGGTCCATAAAGTGGAAACACATCTAGCCCTCACCTCTAGGAGCCTACACAAAAAATGGGTGTTTTCTGCCATGCCCACAGTTCTCAGACGTCAGCAGCAGCTGCCTGGATGCACTACAGACCAGACCTTTCAGCTGCTTGAGCTGGTTAAAAATGCATTATCTCTTCACCAACAGGATTCTGAGAGCAGATAGAATAAAAGAGGCTGCTCCGGCCGCACGATGAACTTGAAGTAATGAGGTCTATAAGTCGACTTGAACAGACGGAAATGATATTAAGCTCTCATGGAGGACAAATGAAAGTATCTACCTCTAATGTCTCTGACAGGCAGAGACCCTTTGCCATTTAAAACTCTGCTGCCGTGGTACATTATTCCCAGGCAGCTGAGAGTTTAATAAGACTTTGTGCAGACACCTCACCTGCCACTTCTGGCTGCCTGCTGGCAACCCTAAGGTTCTTGATGTGGAGGCTGACAATCTGGGCAGACATCAGGGCAAGAGATTCCCCCAGATACGGGAACACAAGCTGGCACAGTAACATCTGTCTGCTGCCCTCTCATGTATGCCAGTCCCAGAACGATCTGATTCACAGTCAGTCCCTACACTCAGGTTGGAGTTTAACTCCATACATACTCAATCTTCTGCACATAAAGTGCTGCCCTTTGCTGGGATGTCAAGGGCTTCCTTGAACAAATCATGCCTGGTTTGTCCGTCCTTAACTCTCTTCACACCCTGCCCTCCACTCACTAAGGTTACCTACTGGCTCCCCTTTCTCTCACTGGTGGGCTACAGCCCGTTCAGCAGCTTTCTTTTCTCTATCTCAGAGTCAGATTGCACCCTCCCTGCCTTTCTCCCTAGTGAGGAGAGTTGATAACAAGGCAGACTGTGCCGCTCCCTCCCGCTAGCAGCTGAGAGCAGGCTCAGCTCCCACTCCTTAGACCAGGAATAACCTGAAGTTACAGCTAGTCTTTACCAATGCCTTCCTGATTTCTGCCACACAGGATAGGTCAGACATCATCATGGGAATGAAACTAGACCACCCGCCTCAGTATCTGTGAGTCGGAAGCCTTTGTCCTCTGTTCCTGAAGGGTCTGTCTGTCCTATCTGTGAGTTGGAAGCCTTTGTCCTCTGGTCCTGAAGGGTCTGTCTGTCCTTTCAGAGCTTACTGTGTGACACCATGCCGCTGATTTCCCAGGGCTCTTCCTCTTCAAGGCGTGCTCATGGTTGCCCATGGTTTGAGGCTCTCACCTGATAAAGCTCATTCTAGTGAACCCACATTAAATCTCTAACACTCACCTCCATGTTGGTCAGTGGCCCACCATCTTACCTTCACATACAGACATCACTGGCACTGCTCATGGAGCCCTTGAGGAACGGTGCACATCTCACTCCTCTGTGGCACAGGGGCTTCATACAGAACAAAGCTAACTTCTCTCGCTGTGTTTTCAGTTACATGTTCCCAACCTCACCTACAGAGACACTGAGTCAACAGAGAAGTGTCCAGGACTCTGATATTCCAAAGAGACTTGCTGACTGGGAACCATGTTGAATAATAAAACCTGTTTCCAATACAACGAGACAATGGACATCTTTGTCCTTTAACAATTTTATTATATAATTATATCTTAAATATTTTCTTATAACTTAAAATATCCAGACATCTACAAAGCCACATTCTACATGTGTTACATTTGAGTTCTCTCTGAGACTGGTAACAGACCAGGCAGCCATTTTAATAGTCACATTTGAAGAAGGGCATAAATACTTATTGTACAGCATCTGTTAATAAGTTTAACAAAAAATTCTAAATCAAAGCAAACAAAAATATCTACAAATACAAACATTAGGATTTTTAAATATAAAATTCCAACATCCTAACTTAAATGTCGCTTGATAGGCTCCCAAGGCCATGGACAAAGGATAAATTTATAAGAAATGTTTATTTTGTCTGCCTATTTAACTAAAAATTTTTAAGTGTTTGACAGGAAAATATAAGATTGCTAGTGTTTTTATAATTAACTTTTGGAAATAATTGATTAGCTTCCTAAAGTTCAGATATGAAGGCATCTATCTTTTTTAAACTGGTAGTAATGTTCTCAATACATTCTCCAGCTTTTAGTCCTGTCCCATCGTCATCATACAGTCCTCTTCATGGGAGCTCTGAAACGGACTGTCCATGGGAGCTTCCAGGTGGCACTGAGACAGCTGCAAAAAGAGTCATATAGTTCATCACAGCTGCAGAGGTCTGCTATACAGTTCACCACAACTACAGAGGTCTGCTATACAGTTCACCACAACTACAGAGGTCTGCTATACAGTTCACCACAACTACAGAGATCTGCTATAGGATCATCACAACTACAGAGGTCTGCTATAGGATCATCATAACTGCAGAGGTCTGCTATACGGATCATCACAGCTGCAGAGGTCTGCTATAGGATCATCATAACTGCAGAGGTCTGCTATAGGATCATCATAACTGCAGAGATCTGCTATAGGATCATCACAGCTGCAGAGGTCTGCTATAGGATCATCATAACTGCAGAGGTCTGCTATACAGTTCACCACAACTACAGAGGTCTGCTATACGGATCATCACAACTGCAGAGGTCTGCTATAGGATCATCATAACTGCAGAGATCTGCTATAGGATCATCATAACTGCAGAGGTCTGCTATAGGATCATCATAACTGCAGAGGTCTGCTATACGGATCATCACAGCTGCAGAGGTCTGCTATACAGTTCACCACAACTACAGCGGTCTGCTATACGGATCATCACAACTACAGAGGTCTGCTATACAGTTCACCACAACTACAGAGGTCTGCTATACGGATCATCACAACTGCAGAGGTCTGCTATAGGATCATCATAACTGCAGAGATCTGCTATAGGATCATCATAACTGCAGAGGTCTGCTATAGGATCATCATAACTGCAGAGGTCTGCTATACGGATCATCACAGCTGCAGAGGTCTGCTATACAGTTCACCACAACTACAGCGGTCTGCTATACGGATCATCACAACTACAGAGGTCTGCTATACAGTTCACCACAACTACAGAGGTCTGCTATACAGTTCACCACAACTACAGAGGTCTGCTATACGGATCATCACAACTACAGAGGTCTGCTATAGGATCATCATAACTGCAGAGGTCTGCTATACAGTTCACCACAACTACAGAGGTCTGCTATACGGATCATCACAACTACAGCAGACCTACTTGGTTACTGAGGAGCTTAGTTCTCTTCCAGCAGAGCAGTGCGCACCGTTTTCTGTGTAGGTGGTCAGGTGATATGGTCTGTATGTAGTATGAAGTCTATTAAACATGTTTGTGTAAGGCTAAGTTGTTGCTCAGGTTGTCCCTCTTCTCCTCTTATATTTGTTAGTTTAAACCTTGCAACAGAATGATCATACTAAACCTGAATTTTTTCTATTGGTTTGTTTTTTGTTAAAAATATCATATGGAATATATATTAAAATAGTTTCAATTACATATTCTGTGGTCAGTCTTTTGTGAATATCTTCATTATCCACAAAAAAGTCCTTCTGTGGCTTAGTTGGGAAGGGCAGTAGGAAAACACTCTGCCCACACACATACTAACATGAGTTTCAGTTTCAAGGTTCACTACAGCTAAACCAGCTTCTCATGTAATTGAAAGATGAGAATATACATGTAGTTCAAAATATAATATGTAGCTTTAATCCAAACAATTATATAGTAAACCTTATTTGCATATGAATTATCCATTGAAAAATGAGGTGGATTTTTAAAAATTTGATTAATTTCTCCATGTTGCCAAGTCAGACATGGATGGTCAACAGTGCTAATACTGGATAAAGAAGAGCATGCCTGGGAAGAAAGTTCAGATGAGGATACTCATCTGGCAGAGCACATAGGAAAGAGTTTATAATTGTGGTGTATGCTCGTTCCATCTCATTGCTGGCACCAGTGCTTAGGAAATATCAGAAATCTGACAGGCAGCAATGAAGAAAACAGCAAGTTTACACCTCTGAAAAGGGCTCACACAGTCTCTGCTCAGAGACAACATAGTCTGGACACTGGAGTTATCTGCTGACTTTCTTTGGTGTGTTTAGCTTATAAGAGGGCATCTTTTAAACATTTATACATACACACATATTTACATCACCATACATACAAGCATATAACACAGTCCAGTTTTAAGTAAAAGAAATATTAATTCTCTGCAGAAAGAATAAAAAGAGGAAACATCCCAGTGGTGTGTGTAATCATTTCTTTACTTTTGAGAAAGAAATTGCTACTGCTTCAATGGCTGGTTTCATGGCTGCTCTCCTCATTAACAGTAAAACCCCCTAAGCATCCTGGGCCTGTCAGGTGCTCCTTGTGAGCAGCCTGTGGGAGGCACTCATCTGGCAGTAAGTTAAAATAAGTTAACTTCCACTGTTCCTAAACACCTTTTGAAAGCACAGAACAATACAGGAGTCTATACAAAGAAGACCTTACTTGGGTTGTATTAAAACTATGTATCTTATCATAAGAAATAAAAATCATGCCGGGCAGTGATGGCGCATGCCTTTAATCCCAGCTCTCAGGAGGCAGAGGCAGGTGGATCTTTGTGAGTTCGAGATCAGCCTGGTTTACAAGAGTTAGTTCCAGGATACGCTCCAAAAGCTACAGAGAAACCCTGTCTTGAAAAACCAAAAAATAAAAAAAGAAAGAAAGAAAGAAAAAGAAAAATCAAAGGTTATTTTTATTCCATCAAGTTACTAATGACAAACCAGAAGCTAATTCTGTGGCTATAAAAACTCAGAATATCACTAAAAACATCCAGGTTGTATTTTTGAAAAGACAAACTAGGACTAGGAAAGGAAAGGAAAGGAAGAAGGAAGGAAGGAAGGAAGAAAGGAAAGAAACCAACTAACCACAAAACACATTGCATAAAACCATGCAGTGTTCAACTAAGCCATAATTGCTAGAAAAGAATAATTTGTATATAAATTATACATGTGTAAGACCCATGTCACCACTCTACACATCTTGTCCTACAAGCACAGCCCTTACGTGGGAAGAAGTCATCTATAAAGGAGCCGCTGTGGAGAATTTAAAAGCCAATTCACAATCCGGAGAACCAGGTAGAGCTGTGCTGTTGGAGCTGCCTGAGAAAGCTTCCTGTGTTTTCCAACTCAGCAGGAGCTGATGTTCATTTCCTCTAACACACTAATCTCTAGGATGATAAATTCTGTATGCAGTCCTTAATTTTTAACTCAGTAAGAAAGGTGTTAAAGATTCATCTTTAGCTGGGCATGGTGTTGAACACTTACAACTCCAGCACTTGGGAGTTAGAGCTGAGGCAGGCAGATTAATGTTTGACGCCAGCCTCAAGTACACAGACAACCTACACTAGCAAGGGAGACCCTATCTCAATAACAGATGGAAAAAGCTCAGATCATGTCTTCGTACTTGCTAAGGATCTAAATGAAACTGGCAGGCTGGCAAACCTATAAACTACCTGCCCATTTCTAAACCCAGCTCTTAGAGAGAGGTGCTGTTACTGTTGGGGATGTACTGGCCCGAAGAGAAAATGTATGAAACAAGAGATGAACTCTTACAAGAGTTGGTTTTCTCTTTGGACTACCACTGCCCACTGTCACCTCTGACAAATACCCCAATTTGTGTTACCTAATTCTTAAACAGTTCTCTAGAGCAGGGGAAGAATAACTACCAAGTGACACAAAAACTCAGTAGCAGAACCGGCATTTACATTAAGTTTATGTTACTAATAAATAATAATAAAGCAATTAAATTCAAACGGTTACACTAGAGATTCAGTTGGTGTGCTTTCTGACTCTGGGCACACTATGTATCTGAAAGAATTAATGAAACCTTATGTAACTTCTAGCTGCTATTCATGTTGTAATATTTAGAGAACAACTACACCATAGGGTCAAGTGTCTACACTGAGACTGATTTTTATTACACTGATGGACCCCATGCTGCCTGTTATAAACAGCCTGAGCTTATGACCACAGATTCTCACTTCATTTATGCAGATACTGGACAGTGAGAACACACGGCTTTCTGAATCTAGGAGCTAAAACCAGGAGCTCTTGCTCTGCTGTCAACACTGAGGTTTTGTCTTACGATAGCCAGGCATGCACTTGTCTCAGCACGACTGGACAAGGAGGGTCCCACCAAACTGCTCCCCTTTTCCAGAGACCTCCTTCACTTCTCTTACCTGGAAAGATCACAAGCAATGGGAGAAGTCTTTTGCTGTTAATCTTAGACTGTCGGCCTGACTGGATTAAGAAACCTCCACAGAATTAATGATATTTAGAAAGCATGTCTGCCAGTATGGGCATTTCTAGAGATAGACCATGGGGGCTCTGAGCTAACAGACTTGTAACACAGCTGAGCTAATCAGGTCACAATCCAAAGGTGCTAACAGGAGGAAGGTAGTGACAGGTAGGAGGTAGCGACAGGCAGGGTGGGGCCTAGCTTTAGGAAGTAGGGATCATGAGTGCTCTGGGAACTCCGTCTGCCAATAGACTTGGGGTACCAGCCTTAGGGTATGGCTTCTTGTCCATACGCATGCCTGCCAGAAGAGGGCACCAGATCTCATTCCAGATGGCTATGAGCCATCATGTGGGTGCAGGTAACTCAGGACCTCTGGAAGAATAGTCAGTACTCTTAACCTCTGAGCCATCTCTCCTGCCTCTAGTGATAAACTTCTGAACATTGGGGGTTTTTTTGGTTTTTTTTTTTTTTTTTTTTTGGTTTTTCGAGACAGGGTTTCTCTGTGGTTTTGGAGCCTGTCCTGGAACTAGCTCTTGTAGACCAGGCGGGTCTCGAACTCACAGAGATCAGCCTGCCTCTGCCTCCCGCGTGCTGGGATTAAAGGCGTGCCACCACCTCCCGGCCTGAACATTGTTTTAACCATGGCTTGAACACAGCTTTATCTACAATGAATCTATAGGGCTTATAGCATTCTATAATCTGACCTTTGAAATAATGTCTCCAGAGTTGGTGACTCAAGAATAGCCCGTTAGGGGTTTCTGGAAAATATTTCAGTGGCAGTGTACCAAAGTTGTGCTGCAAACATCATGCTAGTCCCTGTTAAGGGAATGAAAAGGTTCTGACTAGCCAAGCATGGTGGCTCTTACTTAAAATTCCCAGCACTTGGGCTATAGAGTAAGACCATTTTAAGACAAATATAGTTTACATGATACTAGATCTACTAAATGAATCGCATCAACATGATTGTTCTAATATATATGCTTCATATAGCTTTTATCTAGAAACAAGACTAAAACATTACAAAAGCAAAACATATACTTGTTTTGCTTTGTGGTGCTGGGGCCAGCAGACAAGGCAGGGGCTCTGCCACTAAACCTTTGGTTTGGTTTGGGGATCTCAATATGATATCCAGGCTGACCCTGACTTAGAGATTCTCTACTCATTAACTCACTTCCTAAATGCAATCAAAGTTGATATAAAATAAGTACTAGACAGTTGCTTTATTCAAAAGTAGTTGCTCTGTTTGGAATAAGTGCTCTTAAATCTATTAACAGTTATGTTTGACCAAAAAGATGTTTGAGCAATCCTGGCAAACTTTTTACCACCTCCATCTATACACTGAAAAGCTTCAAATCACGTCAAAACAAGCATGTGCATCTAAATGATCTTATCAGTTTTTCTAATCTAATACCTACATATACAAAGAACTGCACAGCTACCGCAGCATATAATTATAAAAAAAAGATGCTTGTTAAACAGAATATTTAAAACATTAATGCTATCAAGCCAATAAAATATTCCAATCAGAAATTATAATTTTCTAATTTGATTTGAATCACTTTTCAAATAATGCATCATTTCTGACACCATTTGTATCCAACCATGGAAGGTTTATCATATTTCTATGTAAGTTTGCTACTTATGCTACCCCGATTTCCATCTACCCTGATGCCCTAAGGCTGGTACCCCAAGGCTATTGGCTGAACCCTTAGTTACCACAACATGTGTCCATAGGGCTCTATCTTCTCTTGGCCCCTTCCTGCATTCTCTTTCCTCTGCATCCCGTCTCACCAGGATATGAAGAGCTCTGCACCACGATTCCCTGCCATGATGACTTACTCTCTTTTAGTCATTTCTGTCAGTTTATGGCCACAATGGCTAATACAAGGTCTCTCTACAATGGTCCACCTCAGCCACAGGACTACTCTTCATCCTCCGTCCCAACCCGAAGACTGGAAATTAATGACCATCTCTGCTTATACACACATTTCTCCTAGGAAAGCCTATATTCTGATGGCTCAACAGCTACTGGTTTGTTAGCATCGTGGCAATCAATGCCTCAATTTCAGATGTAGGAAAAGGTATCTTATATAATTAAACTGTAGAGTCAGTTACAGATCCTGAGGCTGCCAAATGGTAACTCTTCATACCAACCTGTTCTTGTCCTGGTTCATTAGCTCTTGCTGTGGGCTCTTGTACCTGCTGCAGCATTTTCTCCAGTTCTTTCAGTAAACCTTCTGTCTCAGAGACAACTAAAGGAAATCATGAATATAGTAAAAACTACATCTTTGATTAATTCCATCTAATTCAAAATCTTAACTACCCAGAAATAGCTCTTCTAAATACTACAGGATTAAAAATAAAAAAACAAATGTTCATAGTTTAAAAAATTTTAGCTTTAGTTAACTTAAAAATTACAGATTTCTTTTTGGCTTTTTCTTACATACTTAGTTTCTGTTATCATTTGTTTTTTATATATGACCCCTGCTTGTTGCAAAATTCTATTATGAATTTCCAGGTGAAATTTTTAAAATTCTTTGAAAGGGATAAGTAATTTTTTTGATATGCATAGAGTATAAAATATCTTTGAAATATAAGAAGCTCATTAGAAGTATTTTTGTCTTATTTGGGTCCCAGGCATGAGACTCAATTATGTCTGAAAAGCAGACATCACAACCAAGAGCAATGGACAGTTGATAGAGGGCTCAGTTTCCTTTAAAGAATGTGGCCCCATAGGCCCACCACGTTCCTGGAAATGGCCCCACACCCACCAGCATTTGGAGTGGACAACTGGATTATTAGGAAAAAGACACAGTCAGGAGAGCAAGGACATGGGGAGTGTGGTGGTGAAGACGACCGAATGCCTCACCTCCATGGGTGACATTAAAACTGATGCTTAACAGAAAAAGTCACATAGCTGAGTGGCTGGGCCCAATGCAGGCTCATCCTTCTTTTTCACTTTCCTGTGCATGGGGCCCTCCAAGGGAGAGAGTGCCTCCCTAGGGTGAGCATGCACTCCCTGTGGGTGCTTGTGGAGGTCCGACATTCCTGTCAGGAGTCATCTTCCGCTGCTCTTTTATGGTCTTTATTCATTCACTTGGGGGAGGAAGGCTCCCTCAAGTCAAACCCAGAGCTCCCTGAAAGCTACTCTTACTAGCAGTTTGATGCCCACTGACATTTTTCATGGTGTCTTGGGATCCCCTTGGTCCTCACATTTGCATGACAATTAACCACTGAGCCATTGCTAGAACCCCATTAGTTCATCCAATCCTTATCCAAATATGCAAATTGCTTAGTCTGATTTGAAAGAGAAAACATTATGCTTATAAATGCCTTTTTTTGCTGTGAAATAAGGGAAGAGGTGTTTACTGCTTTGTTGAACATACTGAGATAAAAATGTCTATCTTAACCACTTAAGAAAGACAGCCTAGGATAATGATAGAATTGAATCCTGATGAACAATATGCATTTGAATTCTCCACCTAAATAAACAGCATTTTTACTTGACACAGAGTCTTGCTGAAGCAAAGATCAAAGCAAATAGCACACAAGTAGCTTGCTGTTTGTAGCTTGCAGAGACAGATGAGACATCTGAGAAGCCTGTGGAAAGACAGCAAACCAGGAGGGGATGCCATGTCCCTCCACTTCCACTCTGATCCCTGCATCTGACATACCCCCTTCCATTTTCTGCCATCTTGACAGATCACCAACAGTCATACTGCCCAGCACAGCTGGAAGTTCAAGGAACATTTAAATGTACCAAGGCGGAACCTAAGAAAGGGAATTTTAAATACTGATAAAGTACTATTTTGTTTTGTTTTGTTTTCCCAGACACAGTTTCTGTGTAACAGCCTGACTGTCCCGGAATTCTCTGTAGACCAGGCTGGCCTCAAACTCACAGAGATCCATGATAAAGCACTATTAATAGCAGTATTGACTGAAATCAGGGCAGTTAGGAAATGGAAAATCTTCCTGTGGCTGCTGCTACAGTGAAGGAAAAATCGGTTCCCTTTTGCATTTCCACATTACAATCTGCAGCAATATGCCAGCCAGCATCTCTGCCGAAGCATCTCTGTATTCAAACACACACCTACAGTGTGTCTGCTCTGGGGCAGGAACTCAGGGAAGTCAGGCTAGACCAGGAGCCTCCTCATCATGACTCTGCCCAGCCAGCCTCAGGCTAGACCAGGAGCCTCCTCATCATGACTCTGCCCAGCCAGCCTCAGGCTAGACCAGGAGCCTCCTCATCATGACTCTGCCCAGCCAGCCTCAGGCTAGACCAGGAGCCTCCTCATCATGACTCTGCCCAGCAAGCCTCAGGCTGACCAGTCACAACTAGTCTTGAAACAACCTGAAAAAAGCTTCTCCCACCTCAGGAATGAGTTCTCTGCTTCAAAGCAAAACAAACAAAAACTGCAACTGACTTGTTGGTGACCACCACAAACCATCCGTTTTCTTTGGAAATAGCTGAAGACAACAGAATAGTCCATTCTGGCTCAGGAGTACTCAAGAGTTTGGTGGGCCTAAGAATCACCTGGGTAATTCATTTTAAAACATAGATGTACCATGTCTACTGAACTCAAACTTTCTAGAGAAATGTATGCTCCTACTGAAGCTTTTTGAATGAAATTAACATTCAATTTTAGTATATATTTTTTTCATTTATATTTATGTGTGTGCACGTGCACATGCGTGTATGTTCACAGGTGCACTCAAGCACACAAGTGCAGATACATAAGTGCCATAGCATGCCTGTAGAGGTCAGAGGACAGCCTGCAGAGGAGCTTCTCTCTTGTCTGCTTGAAGCAAGGGTCCGCACTACATACTCTAGACTAGCCTCTGTCTCCCGCCTGCCCCTCCCTCCTCTCAGTGGCATGCTGTGACTCCTGCTGTGCACCACCTCAAGCAGCTTTCACGTGCCTTCTGGGAACTCAACTCCTATTGTTAGGCTTGAGCCACAAGTGCTTCTGCCCCTGGGGCCACCTCCACAGCTGCAGTGGGGCATCTCTTTTCTGTTCCTGTTAACTCATGGGTAACTAACTGTTTGTGGTAATCATCAGGCTGATCCTCCAGTTCCCCTTACACTTTTTTCCTACTTTACTTTGCGAATCTTCGGAAACTGACATTGAAATTTAATGTCATGTTGAAAAGATGGATTTTGAGCTCCGTTATAAAGAAATTTGCCAAACAAACATCTCCACATTTCTAACACTAGGCTAAAGCACACTCAGGTTATGATGACATGTGTCACTGCCAAGTTCACTGGAATCTCTGTTTGCAAACAATCTGAAAAAGTGTCTGCACTGCCTTTTGATCAAAGGGTAGACAGAGTAATGGAGGGCTTCATCAACTGGCCAGGACTCTTAACAGCCTGACTGATGTTGATTTCTGCTTCCAGAGCTACAGGAGGCTTGCTTTTCTATAAGTTTTCCTATATTGTAAACTGAAATTCAAAAACAATTCTCAAGAAATGGTAGTTCCTGTAATCTACAGACTCAGTTATCAGAATTGGTCAATGATATCCTCCAAGGCTGGAGACAGAATGATGCCTTTGCTGACTGTACAACCAATCATCTCCTATCTGTGATGATTAGCCTGTACTTTCCTGACTTATTTCAATTCACTGTTAAGAGTAGAAATGGAGAAGGAGGAAAATGGGGATAGGGGGAGGGAAGAAGAAACAGAGTGAGAGTAAATTAGAGAGAGAGAGAGAGAGAGAGAGAGAGAGAGAGATCCCATACATAACAGTACATCTGAGGCAGGAAGACAAACAATTGTATCATCTGAGTGTGCAAAACAATTGGGGCCGAGAACTGGGGCACAGGCTACCTCCTAGTAATGAAAGAAGAACTGGCCCCATCCTTTCTGGACGCCACTGAGCAGCAGCTCCCTTGCACTTTGTCCTTTGAAAGGATATTTCTCTTCCCTTTGCTCGACATCTTCTAAAGAGAAGCTACACTGAAATGACTAAATGGGCAAAGACTTGCTGGCTCTGGAGAAAATATAAGGATTGTATGTCCACAATTAAGGTGTTAGTTGTTAAATAATCTCTCTACATTTATAGAACCTAGAAGGCCTGGTTCCTTCAGATTATACCACACTATGAAAAAATCTTCCTTGTCCTTTGGTTCTATGAGTCAAATAACACAAAACATGTCACTTGCTATGAGGCTTAATTTGAAGAAAAGAATGACTGTCTAGTGAGCAACAGGAAGTAGCCCCAGAAGGCCAGGGACCAATGATGTACCAGCTGGAGAAGAAGAGAAGGAGACATGTGCCCTTGAAGTACAGAGGCCACTCAGCATCGTAAGACAGCTCTCACAGGAGCACACTGTTCTGTCTTCCTTCCCCCTGTAATAAAAGCTCTGTGTATATCTGAGTTCTCTACGTGGGTGCTTTGATGCTGGCATACCCTTTATATTCATGAATTGGCCCTTGAATAAATGTGATTTATTTCCCACCAGCTCTCCTTTTTGAAGAATCGGCTTTCAAGCAATCATCACTGAACATGAGACCCATAATACCATAAAGAAATGGGATATGGATGCTTGGAAAGAGATCGCTCTAAGGGCTAGCCAACTGCTGCCATCTTCATGAGGTCATCAAGCCTTTTTGTAAGAGTCTATCATGATGAAGCCTTTTGGTTGGCACTCTTTCTGGGAGGAAGGGTCGTTGAACTTTGAGTGGCCAGGAATTTCTGTACAATGCTGCCCTAACTGCACAAGGCCTTGGGATCTCAGGCTAGAGTATTTAGGGTGGGGAAATACTGGGAGAAGCTGAGCTCTGTCCTGCAGCTATGGAAAAGCCATCAAGCACATTCGGTGAACTATCCAGTATGACAGCTTTGGGGCCACCCATGCTCCTACTAGTAACACCCTCTGCACGCTCTGTAAGCACAGCAAACGCCTGTGTTCCCAGGATGAACCATACTTTGGAGGAGGGAGCAGCATTGCTCATATCACACCCTGCCCCAAGGGAAGGAATTTCAGCAGTAGGGAATCCACAGAAATATTGATAGAAATTAAAAAGCTTGAGAAGTTTTGTTATTCCTTGCTTGCTAGTGGGTGTTTATTTTTATTTGTTGAGATTTTTGTACAATGTGTTTTGATAAAAATTCACTGCCTCCCCCACTCCTTTCCAATCCATCCCACCTTTCTACCCACCCAACTTTGCCTCCTCTCTCTCTCTCTCTCTCTCTCTCTCTCTCTCTCTCTCTCTCTCTCTCTCTAACCAATTGCTGTGTACACACTTTGGTATGTGTGGCCTTCACTGGAGGGTGGTGTCTACCCACCCTGGCCATACCATTAAAGAAAGCTGACTCTCCCCCACTACAGCTGTCAGTTGTTACAGCTCCTTAGCTAGGAATGCGATGTCATCATGACCACCCTCCCTCTGCATTCTGGATTGTGTCTGTCGAGTGCCTGCACTTGTCCTATGCATGGTGTCTCAAACTGCTGTTAAATTCATAAGTGTAACTGTAGGCAGAGTTTCTCTGTATCTTAGCAGTCACTCCAAATAACCACAAGAGCTTTAATACAAATTATAAATCCTCAGCTGATATTTCAGACTTATTACTAACTAGCTCTTAGAACTTAAATTAACTCATTTTTATTAATCTAAGTCTTGCCACGTGGCTCATATCTTTACCTGTCCTCCAGCAAGTCTTGCTTCCCCTATGTCTCCTGGTGACTCCTCTGACTCTCCTTCTTCTTCCCATTATTCTCAGTTTGGCTATCTCATATAACTTTATCCTGTTCAGCTATTGGTCAGTGAGCTTGCTTATTAAACCAATCACAGTGATATATTTACACAGTGTAAAGGAGCATTCTTAACCAATGAGAATAAAACATATTCACAGTGTACAGAGGATTATTCCACAGGTAACTGCCCAGCTCTGTCCAGTAAGCAGTTTCCTTATAGTCATCCAGCACTTCTGGCTCTTGGGAGTTTTCTGTCCCCTCTTCCATGATCCCTGAGCCTTGCATGTATGGGTGTGATATAAAGGTTCCACTTTGGGTTGGGCACTTCCACAGTCTTTTAAGGTTCTTTTTTGCAATAGGTAGTGATTATTTAGTCTTTGACACAGGGTGTCAGGTATCCTTGACTTGCCTAAAACTCCCTATGTAGCTGAGGATGTCCTTAGAGGCATGTGCCACCACATCAAGCTTATGTTGGGCTTGGAGTCTTAGGCTTCATAGTTGCTAGGTAAACTTTCTACTAATGGAGTCATATTCCTAGTCCCAAGGAGTATTAAGAATGAGAAAGAATCACTGTTTGCTGAGAAAGGGCACGATGGACTGGTCTAGACGGTGATGTTCTTAATTGCTGATGATAAGGTGGAGAATTAAAATGTATTAGTTGAGTATTTTTACATCTTTACAGGAAAATCATGCCTGATAGTGTTAACTATCATAACTGCCATGTCTAGTGAGGTCATGTATCTTAGAGGAAAAATTACTATTATCACTTTCCTCAACCCATATAACTCCTAACTGCATTCTTATACTTATCCCTATATCCACAGATAAGCATACCTCTCACTCATCAGCAAAATGCTTCTTTTTACCTCAGACTGTCTTATCTTAAAAGTGATGTCTCCCAAGACCCATACAGAATGTCTAGGATGGTCACGCTGGAGTGAAGCCTTCTGGAGCAGGAGTCCTGGGGTCAGCAGCCACACTTCCTGCTGCTAGAGTCAAATGCTACTCATAGTGCTGGTGGGAGGCGGGTGTTGAAATAACTGGGCTGTCTTGGAGGCCACCTGGCTGGCAGTTTCCACTTGGGAAGGGATCTAACAACTGTTACCTGGTTTAATTTTCTTATTGTGACAAAGTGGGTGACGAAAACAACTTTCCAGAGGGTTTCAGATCCTGCTTGCTCAGCCTGGTGCTTGGTAAACATTTGGAGTATGCAGCAGGGCAGAGCCCCAGAGCAGGATGAGGACTTGGAAGCTAGTACAACTTTAAAGGGCACATTCTATGGATCTACTTCCTCCAGATGTGCCCTCCTTAGTAACTTTCCACAAGCTTCCAAACCAGCAAGACCAGCTGAGGACCAATGCTGGAAACATTAGCTCTGGGGTCATTCTGTAACCAACCACAGCATTGCTCCAGTGGTTGTTCTCAAGAGTTTAAGCTATTCATAGGAAGAAGGAAAACTTATTAATGAGTGTGTGAATGTGAAGGACTTGCCATTGAAATTAACATTCTCTATGGTGCTTAATGGAGTTTCTTCTCACACTGCTTAACCATTCTTACATCCCTGACAAATGGCCCTAGGAAGGGCTGGGTTTCTCTATGCCTTCTTCAATTCAGATCCCACTTTGCCTCCAAAATGGAAGTTGACTGTCACAGACATTTTCTGTGCTTTCACATTTATTGTACAGATATCATTTCTACTTGTCCTGTCACAATCCCCACTGTCAAACCTTCATTCTGTCTCTGTATGGGTTGCTTAGTGCTGGGTGGAGGTGAGGCTGGGGATATGGTGTAGGAGGTTCTTCTGTATTTATGTTGCTTTCTGTGGTTAATCAATAAAGAAACTGCTTGGCCTGATAGGGCAGAATTTAGATAGGTGGAGAAGACAGAACTGTATTCTGGGAGGAAGAAAGCAGCAGATGGAGCCGAGCTGCCATGATGTCGCCAGGTCAGAGTCACTGAATCTTTCCCAGTAAGCCACGACCTTATGGTGATACACAGATTAACGGAAATGGGTTAGATCAGGGTGTGAGAGTTGGCCAAGAAGAAGCTAGAGCTTATGGGCCAAGCAGTAATTTAATTAATACAATTTTTTTTCTTTTTTTTTGCTTTTTCGAGATAGGGTTTCTCTGTGGTTTTGGAGCCTGTCCTGGAACTAGCACTTGTAGACCAAGAGATCCGGCTGCCTCTGCCTCCCAAGTGCTGGGATTAAAGGCGTGTGCCACCACCGCCCGGCCCTAATACAATTTTTGTGTGGTTATTTTGGGGGTTAAGCTAGCTGGGCGGTGGGACGCAGCCCACCGCTCTTCCATACTACAGATTGGCGCCCAATGTAATGGACTAAATCCACTTAAAAACCTGAGAGGGCTTAAAAAGGAGAGGGGGGAAGAGAGAGAGAGAGAGAGAGAGAGAGAGAGAGAGAGAGAGATTAACACAGCTTTTTACTGTTTGCTGGTGGCGTGCTGCAGAGAGAATTTCCTGACAGAGCAGCCGTACCCCCCCCCAAAAAAAAGATGCTCCATTTTAAAACATGGCTTCCTGGGCACTGTCACTGGTGCAAACTCCAGCTATGGAGCATTTGTGGGACTGGGTGTTTGTGTGCCTGTTCGGGATTGGGAGGAAAGCAGGTAAGACCACGCCCGTGGCTCAGCTCTTCTTGCCTGGGCAGACAGCGGAATCAGACTTGGGCAGGCAGGAGAGCATGGTGGATTCCTGCCACCATACAGAGATGTTTCCAGGCTGCATAGTGCTCCGAGAGGCAGATTTGGCTGTAACTCAGATAAAAAGTGTTTATGTGTTGCACACTCATTCTTTGGGCTGGACTGCTGAGTGCAGCTCCTGCCTGGCGGCCCCAGAGCTGACAAAAATGGTACATCCACCATTTTAATATTGAGCTAATAGGCCAAACAATGTTGTAATTAATATGTTCTGTGTGATTATTCAGGTCTGGGCAGTGGGAAACAAAAGAACAGTCTCCGCTGACAAGGCCCCAGGCTCTTATGAGGTCCATTTCCCCCTTTCTTTGGATTCCAATAGGTTTGGGATGGAGAGGTCTAGGTTGAAGATCAGTTGCTAGAATTTTCCTCTACAGCTGTCAGTGATTTATTTTAAAACATTAAATATATGGCAACTTCAGAGAAATTTTACTTAAGAAGACAGAAACTTAAAGAAAATAGAAAAGTTTCCCATTTGACACCAAGATGACCTAATAATCTTAAACTTGTATGCAAGTACAATAGCTTTTTAAAAGCCAACAACTACATTTTTCATTTTTGTCTTATATAATATATCCTGACTGCAGCTTCCTCTCCTAGGTCCCAGTGCTCCCACCACCCCTTTCTTCCAGATCCACTCTTCCAGTCTGTTTCTCCATAGAAAAGAGGAGGCCTTCCAGGGATATCAACCAAACATGGAACAACAAGATACAAAAAGACCAGACATAAACCCTCACATCAAGGCTGGGTATGGGAATCCAACAGGAGAAAAGGGGTCTCAATAGCAGGCAAAAGAGTCAGAGACACCCCATTCCCACTGTCAGCAACCCCACAAAAACACCAAGCCAACAACCATAACATGTATACACAGGACCTAGTGCAGACCTATGTAGACTCCATGATTGTTACTTCAGTCTCTGTGAAACCCCATGAACCCTACTTAGAACAACCATTTGAAATTATATCTAGGCAAAGAAACTAAAGCCATCCCAGGCCTTCACATACCCATGTTTTCCTTTGATAAGGCTTCATCAGAACAAACATTTTCAACAGAGCATCTTAAAGCAGCATTCCTGAAAAAGATTTTGACAGATTTAGTTTCAAACAAGCGATCCCACACATAAGGGTGTGTATACACACATACACATACATACATATGCATGTAAGTACATGTACATATACACACATGTATATATTTATTTTACTGCATATATGCAAATGTGTGTTTCTTAATAACTGAATTCTGTGACTCTATAGGTCTCAATCTTTGGTGTTTTTTTTCTTGGTTGTCTCACACAGCACAATTCAGTGCAGAAAGCCACTGTGACCCCAATAGGGAAGCTAATTCAACAAGCAGTCGCACAGGCATTCTTCATGCAATTATCTCCCAAAAACATGTTATGTAATTACTGTTCTCATTATGTAAAGAGGTTGAGGAACTGCAACTACAAAAAGAAATGAGAAGTCTGGCACCATAGGTAAACCACTGACCATGACAGAACCTGTTCTGTCAGATGGTAAAGTCATTCTTTCCCATCACACTGTGCTCCTGACAAGTGCCAGAAAACATCTGTGCCAATGCATTATTGCCAATCAGAAGTTCCCATGAATCAGTTCTGCAAGCCATGTCTCTTCATCTCTTAAACGAGGATATCTGTACATGTGTGTGGTGTGTAGGATGTGATTACTGTGGTGTGTAACTGAGACAAAGAAATCAATGTCCATTTTCAAGAATTAATTATCTAGCCAGGCAGTGGTGGCGCACGCCTTTAATCCCAGGACTCAGGAGGCAGAGACAAGCAGATCTCTGTGAGTTCAAGGCCATCTTTTCTACAGAGTGAGTTCCAGGATAGCCAGGACTACTCAGAGGAACCCTGTCTTGAAAAACCTAAGAAAATAAAAATAAAAAAGAATTAGTTATTTAGTGGGTGGAGATACTTTTGCACAGAGATGACAACCTGAGTTTGTTACCAAGACCCTGTCAGATGGCAGGAGAGAACTGATCCCTAACACTTATCCTCTGACCTCCACATATGCTACAGATGGACATGTCCCACATACATCATACATACAAAACAAAATAAAATGAAGCAAATGTGTAAATAATTAATTTTAAAAGTGGCTTTCTTCTGCAAAGATATGGCAAGAGGAGGACTATTAGCATCAGTCTTTATCTGAAAGTGGGAATCCTAGAACACGTGGTCACATACTGAAAATCACATGCTAAGGCTAGCTCAATGAGAAACACTGAAACTTATCATCATTGTCTTATCACTTTAACATGGGGACTTGACCCCGACTTGTCTTACCTATTTTAATCTTTAAAAAAACCTTTTTACAAGATAATAACCTTTCAAAAGTTCTAGCTTAACGTTTTTTATAGAACTATAATATTTCTTCAGCCAAGTATGGTGGCTGCAATCCCAGCATCTGGGAGGCTGAGACAGAAGGACTGTAAACTTGAGAGTAGCCTTGGCTACAAAGTGGAAACCCTGTTGGAAAACCAGACCAGGCAAAAGAGAGCATAACTTCTCTGCACTTCTAACTACCAGCTTGCTAATTCTTTCAAAAAGGTTTAAGCACAAGGTTTACCCAGTGAAGAAAAAAATTAGGGAAAATGTCACACAATAATTAAATACAATTTATACATCTCAATTGTATTCTAGTATTTTAATTTCACAAAACATACCTTTTCCTCTTTCTAACCTTGGGCTTTTTCTTTTCAGTATTATTTTTGGAAACTTGCATCTATAAAGAAACATCAAAAATGAATTAGTATATTGCTCTAGATCTGCTCAATATACTAAAATGGGTATTATGTGCTTCTAATAATTTAGCTGAAGAGAAACTTTGGCCCATACCCCTGAACAAGATCTTTCTGTCTAGCCTCCACTACATGGTCTCTGTGAAGGCATCAACCCACCAGCCTCCAGGAATAGTAGGATGACCAGATAAGGAGCTGCTCTTTATTCTCATATGCACCTTCAAAAAACCCATAAAAATAATAAGATCATTATTTAAGATTTTACACCTAGCTTTAAGAAAACAGAAGCATGTAGATGTGAAGGTACATGGGTGAGAGCTGACATCGTAGTGGCCCCAACAACATGCAGCAAGGCACCCCAATTCTGTGCCTCTTGTGTCACTGTCAGATAAGGCCTGGATACAACAGAATTCTTCTGACTGTAAACAGAACAGGCAAGACTTTACTTGAAAGAGCACAAAAGCAGGTTGCTGTATATACCTGGCCTGCCACATTAGATGGCAACAGTAGTGATTCTGAAATATAGAAAACATCCAAAAAATCCAAAGTTATGTCTCTGAGAATATTAGATTTTCCAAATCAAATAATCAGCCCAAAGATTCTCCTAGAATTCCAAACTAGGAGAGGCAGAAGCACAAAAGTCAAGCAATTAATGTAAAGACTTAGATTGGATCTCATATACTACATTCACTAGTCAAGAATAACTAAAATTAAAGACATGCACAGGAAAACTAAACCCTATTAAGCAATGTTTTCAATGTATAGTTCAGTTGACATGAAGTTAAAAACAAGCAAAAAGAATGTATAGTCCTAGAAATCAAAAGTGTCTGTTCTTGGAGCACTGGCAATCAGCTGCAATAGATGCCTTACCAACAGCAGTGCCCAGGAAAGTAGCATCAATTAAATTACACCCCAAACAAGTGTGACTCAAGTGGGAAGCTGGGTCTGTGCTGTCTGAAGCTACTGAAATAGTTCAATAGAGGAGAAATTAGGAATTGTTTGCTTTTTATCAGTTATTGATTTCCCTCATTATCAGAAAATCATTAGAACTTTCAAAATAAAAGAGAATTTTAAGACTACAATTCAGTCGGGCGGTGGTGATGCACACCTTTAATGCCAGCACTCAGGAGGCAGAGGCAGGCGGATCTCTGTGGGTTCAAGGCTAGCCTGGTCTATGAGAGCAAGTTCCAGGACAGGTTCCAAAGATACAGAGAAATCCTGTCTTGAAAAAAAAAAAAAAGAAAAGAAAGAAAAAATATATAATTTTTCTGAAAAAGCTACTAAAGGATATGCTGCAAAGATTTAACCTAAAAACAAGAATGAAAATGACTGAAGAGAAGTAAATTACTAAACATGATCTACATCTAAATAAACTCAAGACCCATGTAGGCTCAAGCCAGACAGACCCCAGCATGAAGAGGGAAAGTGAGCAAGAAGTCCCCGAGCTGCATGAAGAGCTACTGGTAATCAGTGGAAGGTCACACAAGCAAGGACACACACAGTACCAACTTGATGGGTTTAATAAAATCCCACAGTGACAAAAGTGAGGATAAAAAATTGCATGAGCAAAGGAGGAATGGATTTGGGAAGAGCTGGGGAAGGGGTGAAGATGATCAAAACACATCCAACAGAATTCTCAAAGGACTAATCAAAACAGAGAAAATAAATAAATGAACCATGATCCCCTCTCCTCCCAAAGCCTAACTGATGCTGGATATAGTGCTCAAAACTGGAACTTTTATAGCAGACACAAGACCTGAGTTAGATTCCTAGTACCGAGATTTTTTTTAAGGACTAATTGTAAAGAAGTGAAAAACAAGAAGATTCATAGTCCAAGATAACAAAACGGAAGAAGGAAAGGAATCAGACCAGGGTAGAAAGTAAATAAATGATACCGAATTATTCATAAAATAGAGGTGGAATTAGGACATGTATGGCCAATGGAAGAATTTTAAAAATAGTGATACAGGAGTTCAGAAAAGTAATTGAAGATTAATATGTTTGCACATAAGGATAGCCCTCCAAAGAAGAGGGCTGTGTTGTATAACATCTAGACTAGTTGGAAGCAAAAAAGGGAATTTTAAAAAACATGCAATATGATAGAACCTAGAAAGAGAAGCAGAGAAGAAAAAAGGAAAAAAAGCATTGTAAACAGAAAACACAAATTAGATCTTATCCAGTTACATTTATAATAAGAAGTAATTCAAATAGATTCAATCTCTTCGACTGGTTTAAAGCAAAGCAGTACAATTTGAGCTAAGGGACTCTAAGACATAACAGCATGACCATCAAAGTGCCAAGTGCTTTTCTGTACAAAAATAAATAATGAAAACTTCAAATGGTAAATGTGAGGACTATAAAACAGTCAAAACACTCTTTTAGAAGAAGAGCCAATTTGATCACACACTCCGATTTCAAAACTTAAGACAAGATTTGATAATTTAGGACAATATGGTTTCAGCATAAGAACAGAAGACATGACCAGTGGAATGTAGTTAGGAGTTCAGAAATGAAGTCTTATATTGGTAGTCAACTAATTTTCAGCAATCGGGCTAATGAGTATGTAAGAAAAACAGTTCCTTCTGCAAATAGAACTAGTACAGCTGAGTAACCACATACAAAACAATAAAGTTCACATCATATATAAAATTAGTTTTAAAAGGATTAAAGGTTTAAATGTAAGAGACACCACTTTCAAATGTCTTGGAAGAAAATATAGAAGTAAATCTTTATAACTTTGGTGTCTTTGTTAGTTTTTTATTGTTGTGAAGAAACATCACATATAAAACAACTTATAAAAGAAAGCATTTCATTGGGGGCTTGCTTAGTTTCAGAGGGTTAGAGTCCATCCATGATCATCATGGCAGGAAACAAGGCAGCAGGTAGGCAGACATGGTGCTGGAGCAGTAGCTGAGAGCTTAAATCTGATCCACAAGCATGAGGAAGAGAGAGAATAAACTGGGAAGGGCTTAGGTGTCTGAAACCGCAAACTCCTCCCTCCAGTGACATACCACTTATTACAGGACCATACCTCCTGATGTTTCCCAAACAGTCCCACAAACTAGGGACCAAGTAATCAAATGTATGAGCTCTAGGGGCCATCCTCATTCAAACCACCGACTGAATTCAGTTGGTGGTGTCTTATATGTAATATTAAAAGCATAAACAACAAAAGAAATGATAAATAGGATGATATCAAGGTTAATGACTTCTGTGGTTTTAAAGGACACCACCAAGAGAGAAAACAGCTCATAAAAGTAGAAAAGATATTTTCAAATTATGTATATAATAATCAAACAATAAGAAAACAAGTCAATTAAATGTATACAACATTTGAATGGACATTTGTTTTAGGAAATACAGGAATGGCCAGTAAGCACATGAAGAGCTGGTTAATAACATCAGTCATCAGAGACATTAAAATCACAATGAAATACCACTCCATGTGCAGTGGAATAGCTGGAAAGAGAGACCTACCAAATGCTGACAAGTCTGTGGTAAAAGATGGAAACGTAGCTGGCTGGGAGTTGTGGAGGTGTGCAGCAACTGTGGACCAGTTTAAAACTTCCTCAAAACCCCATGAATAAAGTTACCCTGTAACCTAGCAGTTCCACTTGGGGAAAAATAAAGGCATTCATCTAAGCAAGAACTTACATACAATGTTTCTAGTGCCATTATTAACAAGGTAGAAACAATCCAAATGTCCACCAACAGATGAGAAAAGTGTGGCATGCTAGTGTCTTCCTTTATTCGTAACTTGTTTCTGAAGTTCCACAGTAACTAGTCTGAGACTATTACATAGAAAATTCTAGACATGACTTATAAATTGGTATAACTTTTATTACATCAGGTTGCTTTGGTTTTTCTATCTTTTTATGTTCTTACTCATTTCTTCTGTGACAAATTTATAAATTAAACTTTATCACAGGTATGTAGGCATAGGAGAAAAAGATAGCTACACTGATTTCTCAACTATCTTGAACTTGGGGCTTTTTCTAGGGTCTCAGAATATATCTTCAATAAATAGTGATGGGGAAGACTACTATATATCCATATAACAGAGTACTATCTGCCACTAAAAATAATACTATGTGAATAAATTTCAAACCATTATGCTAAGTGAACAGTGAAAAGCCAGACAAACCAGCTATATTGTATGTCACCTTTTATCTGAAGTGTTCAGAGATGGAAAATCCAGAGACAAAAAGTTGAAGAGTAACTGCCAGGAAGGGTAGAATATAGACAGACTGCCAATGCACATGGGGCTTTAGGAATGAAAATTAATTAATTAGCCTAAAATTAAATAGCATTGTTGATTACACAACTTTTAATATATGAAAATCCACTGCACTTACACTTGTAAATAGTGACTTGTATGACATATAAAATAAAACTTAACAAACATAAACTACAAAATTCACTACTGTTGGAGGAGGGCGCTGCTTGTTGGTTCCTGGCCGCCAGGCTAGCTTAGACCAGTAATAACCACACAGAAACTGTATTAATTAAATCACTGCCTGACTCATTAGCTCTAGCTTCTTATTGGCTAGCCCTCATATTAATTTAACCTATTTCCATTAATCTGTGTATTGCCACGTGACATGGCTTACCAGCTAAAGTTCCCAGTGTCTATCTCCAGTGGCGCCATGGCTTCTCTCTGACTCCACCCTTCTTTCTCCCGCCATATAGCCTAGCTTTCCCCACCTAGTTCTGTTCTTCCCTTCCATAGGCTCAAAGCAGTTCTTTATTTATTAACCAATAAAAGCAACACATAGGCAGAAGGACCTTCCACTCCACACTACATGGAAAAATTGAAAGGAGCTAGAATATAATATATTCATAATTATTACTAATGTCCAGTCTGGTGATATTAATGCTAGGACAGGAGTGGTAGATGTGAATTCAAAAAGCATAATTTAAGGAGAAAGCTTATTACTCAGTGTTAAAAGACAATCTCATTTTTAAAAATCTTAGCTTCAAAATA